TTTCCTGTCATGTTCCATAGAAGATTTTTCTCATAAAATCTAACCCTATCATGCTTTCAGTTTACTGGCCTTGGTAACGTCGTCTCTCAAATCCCACTATATTTTAATGAAAGAGTGCCCCTTGTTCTTGCGAATAAGCCCCCAATATTATCTATAAACATATCCCAATGAGAATGTGACGTGCATCTTTAGAGACATTCTACTATGAAGATGAAAAATTCAAATCGCTATAACTCTTTAAAAAGCAAATATTTTCGATTTGTAATCGCACTTTTTTATATAAATTTGCTTATATAATCAGAATATAATAAGTAAAATCCATGACCAAAAAAAAAATTTTTTTTTGTTGACCCGTGTTATCATACCTACATACATACTCATTAGGAACTTAAAATATTTCCATGTGCGTAATGATAGTTGAGTTGCTAAGATCGAAGACATTGCATTGTCCTTCCTACACTAAGGCTGGGTTGCACCATCTTACTTTAACTTTAACAAACGTCAAAAATCTGTCAAACTCCATAAAAAAAGCATCAGTTATTGTCATTGTTACGGTTAAAATAAGGTGGTGCAACTCAGCCGAAACAGACACCATTCTACGAGGAATCGGTTACATTTCAGTCACGTGTCACTTGTTTTCCAAAAATGAATAACAAATCGCGTGTCGTTTTAAACACCAGAGAGTTCAATTATTTCTTACCTAGTAAACCTTGAGTTACGCTTAGTGAATAATATTTTATTTAAGAAAAAACACTCGGGAAATACACTATCGTATTTCGTATCGTACTCGGAAAATAACCTGTATTCACAAACGATGTTTGCATAAGTGAAGCAGCAAATCGAACGCACAGAGTTGATAGCTCTGAGATTGGTTCGTGTGTCACCCTGTGCGTCCACGCGCACTGTGAGACCTCATAAGTAATGTTTGTGAATACAGGCGTAAGAATTCTAGAAAACTACATGGATATTACTGAGTTGTAACTTTAACGAAAAACTAAGATCGGATTGAAAGACATTGAAAGACATGACCTTCCATACTCATGCTCACTCATGATACAAGCATGTTTAGCTTAGTACGAGGGACAATGTATTTATTAAATGATCGATTCAGCAGTAACTTTAGTCAATGCATTTATCTAGAACTTTCTAAGCTTAAAATCTGTATGTTATATTGTTGTTTACTTCATGTTAGCAAGTCACATGCGCAATAACAACAATACTTATGCATTTATTCTATCACGTGTTTCTTGTTAAACTGTTGTTATTTATTTATTATACTCGTATTAAACAAGACTGTAGACAACAAAAAACTCACGTGACTGAGGAATTTATTGCAATCTTTATTATTTATCAAAAATCAAACAAAAAACATGGAATACAAGTTTTGTTTTTGTATATTTTCATTTTACTGCTTGTTCCGACATTGTCCTGTTTTGTATACAAATAAATAAAATAAATAAATTTTAATACAGCACACAATTTTAACTCATTTACTGCGATTTATTCCTCTAATTTTTGCTGTGCCCGACAGGGCCCATACTGTCCTATATTTTTTTGAACACCCTAATTTTAACGTGTGGAGTAGTAATAAAGAATTTTAATTTGAATATGGTCACGCTGCATCCTGCCAATTTTATTAAATAGTCTGTAGAATGACTAGGAAATAATTAATAATAATTGTCTGGTGTCTGGGTGTTGGCCATTTCTACAGCTTTTCGGTCCGTATTTTGTAATTTAAAAAACATAAAAATGATGTTACAAGACTTACAAGATTAGGATAACTTATTTGCCTTTATCTCAGAAAAATATTTTAACTGTTAACGTCATTCTTACCACTACATGGCACTCGCTTAAAAACAAGAGCCTAGAAGAAACCCAAGCAACGAAAAATGACACTGTGGAAATACCACCTCTAATGCCGTATAGACGGATGAAAGCTCCTGGAACCTGACTAAAATCGATTCGCACTTACAATCGAGTCGGATGAATATGCAAAACTCGCTAATGGCTCATCCCCGGGGAGAATTAGGGTTGTTTGCGTTCGATTCTCGATATCGATACCCGTGTTTGTCGAGATAATGTTTATCGGAGCCGCGCACGACGGGGAATACTAATGTTGAAAGTTTGTCGAACATATCCTTTGGATACTACTTTGTGGTAGCAAGTAGTAATGTTAGGAAAAGTAATTCAACCACGAAAGGAATTTGCAGAATGTCTGAAAAACGGTAATTTTAAACAAAGACCGGAATTATCTGTCTTTGTGTTACGTATTCACAACTAACACAATGAATTACTATGGATATTATATTACAGACTTCCTTTTGTCCCAAGTATTTTAAGGGGGGTCAAATTGGGGTTAAAAGTTGTCAGAGTAGAGAAGCTCATGTAGAGATACAAAAAATGACGGAAAGAATTAGATTTGCTTAGACCTTTACAGATTTGTTTACTGACAAAAACAAAACAACATAACTAACTAACGCAGAATTGCTAAATTCAAGTGGCAGTGGGCGGGGCACATAGCTCGCAGAGCTGATGGCCGCTGGGGCAGAAAAGTGCCTGGATGCGGGCGGCGCAGGACCGGTCTTTGTGGAAATCCTTGGGGGAGGCCTTTGCCCAGCAGTGGACATAATTCGGCTGAAACGAACCAACGAAAAAATACCTAACATCAAGACCATACCTTTTCTCAAAAGCTGGCATTGTTAATCCATTGGCGCAAGAGGCAACCAAACTGCCCCAAAGCTACGTCATGTTAAATTTATGCCCGTACTTTTTCCCATCGACTACCCCCTTCCGATAAACGAAATACACAACTTTCTTATAAAACTGTAATCCAGGGCTGTCGGGACAAGCGAACGCTTTTAAACCAAACGTTAATCTTAGTTACATAGACAGGTGCGGTTGGGGAATTGTCTCTGCAAAGGCTCTACCAGATACGACGAAGAAAAAGCGACTCTATCCCCTAACAGTAAAGACCACGTTGTTCATGTATATTTCGGTAAGAGTTTCGCAAACAGATGTATTCGGTGATTGGTTGCTTTTTTCTCTTAGAGTTTATTTACGCTTCTGCAGTAACGAATTTAGATTAATGGAAGCGTTTCTATTTTAGACTATTAATGAGACGATCTAAGTGAAATCGTTTAAATCAATTAGATAAAAGCTTGTATCACAATTTGCAAGTATATATGTGGGAGTGTGAAACGGAACGCAAGGGAGTGAGTGAGACGGAATGAATGAGTGAGGAAGTAAGAACGACGGGATTTAAACAGAAGACCATTAGTATTAAGACGGTTCTAAGACGTTCCTATTTTTTGTGGTTTATCCTGGAGTAAATATAAATAAAGCTGAAGAAATACAACCTGGGTTTCAATTCCTACAGCTTGGGGGCTCGTCCGGGATAGCCCAAGAAAAGGAAGCACGACGATTCACGACGATTACGACGAANATTAAATAGTCTGTAGAATGACTAGGAAATAATTAATAATAATTGTCTGGTGTCTGGGTGTTGGCCATTTCTACAGCTTTTCGGTCCGTATTTTGTAATTTAAAAAACATAAAAATGATGTTACAAGACTTACAAGATTAGGATAACTTATTTGCCTTTATCTCAGAAAAATATTTTAACTGTTAACGTCATTCTTACCACTACATGGCACTCGCTTAAAAACAAGAGCCTAGAAGAAACCCAAGCAACGAAAAATGACACTGTGGAAATACCACCTCTAATGCCGTATAGACGGATGAAAGCTCCTGGAACCTGACTAAAATCGATTCGCACTTACAATCGAGTCGGATGAATATGCAAAACTCGCTAATGGCTCATCCCCGGGGAGAATTAGGGTTGTTTGCGTTCGATTCTCGATATCGATACCAGTGTTTGTCGAGATAATGTTTATCGGAGCCGCGCACGACTGGGAATACTAATGTTGAAAGTTTGTCGAACATTTCCTTTGGATACCAGTTTGTGGTAGCAAGTAGTAATGCTAGGAAAAATAATTCAACCACGAAAGGAATTTGCAGAATGTCTGAAAAACGGTAATTTTAAACAAAGACCGGAATTATCTGTCTTTGTGTTACGTATTCATAACTAACACAATGATTACTATGGAATAACTACAAATGAGATGACAGACTTCCTTTTGTCCCAAGTATGTTAAGGGGGGTCAAATTGGGGTTAAAAGTTTACAGAGTAGATAGAGTAGCTCATGAAGAGATACGAAAAATAACGGAAAGAATTAGATTTGCTTAGACTCTTACACATTTTTATTACTGACAAAAACAAAACAACATAACTAACTAAAACAGAATTGCTAAAATCAAGAGGCAGTGGGCGGGGCACATAGCTCGCAGAGCTGATGGCCGCTGGGGCAGAAAAGTGCCTGGATGCGGGCGGCGCAGGACCGGTCTTTGTGGAAATCCTTGGGGGAGGCCTTTGCCCAGCAGTGGACATCATTCGGCTGAAACGAACGAACGAACGGATACCTAACATCAAGACCATACCTATTCTCAAAAGCTGGCATTGTTAATCCATTGGCGCAAGAGGCAACCAAACTGCCCCAAAGCTACGTCATGTTAAATTTATGCCCGTACTTTTTCCCATCGACTACCCCCTTCCGATAAACGAAAAACACAACTTTGTTATAAAACTGTAATCCAGGGCTGTCGGGACAAGCGAACGCTTTTAAACCAAACGTTAATCTTAGTTACATAGACAGGTGCGGTTAGGGAATTGTCTCTGCAAAGGCTCTACCAGTCACGACGAAGAAAAAGCGACTCTATCCCCTAACAGTAAAGACCACGTTGTTCATGTATATTTCGGTAAGAGTTTCGCAAACAGATGTATTCGGTGATTGGTTGCTTTTTTCTCTTAGAGTTTATTTACGCTTCTGCAGTAACGAATTTAGATTAATGGAAGCGTTTCCATTTTAGACTAATAATGAGACGATCTAAGTGAAATCGTTTAAATCAATTAGATAAAAGCTTGTATCACAATTTGCAAGTATTTATATAGGCAGCTTTTTCTGTAAAACTTGAACACCTACACAAATTACAATAGAAACAACTACGCTAGCTACTAACCTTGAGTTAGATCTCTTCGACGAGTCGTGCTTCTTCCCTCCTTGCAAGTTAGGCAGATCCTTCTGCCTTTTTTTAGTCTCCTTCCATATCCTGTAGTACAATATGCACATCACCGTCACTGGCACATAAAACGCCGCGATGGCCGTCCCGAAAGTAATAAACTGGTTCGTCTCTATGAACTGGATATAGCACTCGTGGGGGGGCACTTTCCTTTCCCCGTCGATGTACGGCCACGCGTAAATCCACGGGGGCCACAACACCAAACTGAAGCCCCACGCACTCCCTATCATGACCGTGGCGCGACGTGTAGTCCTTTTGGCGCGGTACGTCAAGGGCCTCGTCACACTAAAGTATCTGTCGAAACTTATAATTAACAGGTTGAGAACCGACGCGTTGGACGCGAGGTAGTCCAGAGCGAGCCACGTGTCACAGATGTAGGGCCCTAGCGGCCAGTAGCCGTAGATGGTGAACATCGTGTACAGCGGCATGGAGATCAGTCCGACCGCGAAGTCGGCGACGGCGAGGGAGAACAAGAAGTAGTTGCTGATGGTCTGCAGCTGCTTGTCGATCTTGAAGCTGATCATCACCATGGAGTTGCCGACGACCGTGAGGACTGAGAGGACGCTGGCGACGATGGCGATGACGATTTTCTGGGCGAGGCTGTAGGGGCTGGTGGGCAGATCGGGGCCGAGCGCCAGGTCGGAGATATTGGTGACGGAGTCGTTGAGCATGCTGTCAACTAGGCGCACCGCCGCCCGCGCCCGCCGCCCGGCTCAGGCGCCGACTCAGCAAGCGATCGTCTGAAACAAAATTACAAATGTAAATCACTAACGCATTGGCCTTTGCCCCCCTAATTAAAATTACAATACCCATAAAAGGGTTATTAAGTTTTAAGTTCAATTATTTATATTTAAGACCCTATGTAGTACACTATGAATTTGAATTCAAATAACTCTATTCGCGACAGAATATATAATATTTCTTACGCTTTGGCATGGTGGAGCGTAACCGAGTGTCTGACAGCTAAGTTCATCAGTGCACCTAAATTGCATGAGACATGTGGCTGACGTCAGAGCACCTAATTTACTTGGTTAATTTGCATCACAAGTTGCAACGAATTAAGTAGGTACCTATACCTATTTTATTTAAAAAAATATATTTTCATAAAAGTATACGTCATAAATTCTTTAAAACACAAACTACATCTAAGAATAAGTATCACAAAGAATAAACATTGCGATAACAAAAATATAAAGTTTCAATAGACGCCCATCGATCTCCTGGAACCCAACACCGCGAGCGCGACCCAATTCTCGCATGTATTATACGAACCATCCGATGCTTCTCGGTAATATATTGGACGTGTCATCTTCCTTCTGCTACTGAAAGGACTTCAAAGGATCGGACAGCAGTAAACTTGGAACTGACAATAAATATTGATATCTGAAACCTTCGAGTAGGTACACACTCGGTAGAAAATTTTAAACTACGTTATTCTTCGGGGTCTTCCAGCTAGTTTTTTAACGTTATTTTCTGTAAGTATGTTATAAAGGACCCAAGAAGTAAAAGTACTAAGAGGATTTCAATTTTATTTACATTGCTTGATAACAGAATTAGATATAAGTAGGTAACTAATTCTATAATCCGTATAACAAAACACAGCATAGATTCTGCCCTATGATTTGTAAAATGTGGAGAATTAATCAATGGTTGGTATAAAATCAATTTTGACCTTTTTTTGTAAAAGTCACCATCGCTTTGCCTCTTTACTGGACTCAGATTCGTAAAAAATCCTGATGATATTCACGAGTATGAAGGTGAGGGTACAGCTAGTTATGAATGCGTTTACAATACATAAACAAATTCAAATGTGGTTATGTGGTTGTTAACAAACTCTTGCGCCATTTTAACAAAAACGGGCGTGTCGTTCTATACTGAACATGCTAGAATGTCACAAGAAAACTCAAACTCAAAAAAAAAAGAACTGTAGGAAAATATGTAACATAAAGGTTACGGTTCGTCACGTGCAAAAGCACCGATCTTAGGCCCGTTTTCCACCAAGACGAGGCGGTGCGGTGCGGAGCAGAATTTTTTTTTTATTAAAATAGTAAGACACGGGTCGAGTCTTAACGCTACGTTTATTAATGAGTTACATTATGTACTCACAGCTTGACGTTTCGGCTGCGATTCTGCAGCCATGGTCACAAGCAGACTGTAACTCATAAATAAACGTCACGTTAAGACCCGTGTCTTACTACTTTAGTTGAAATGGAACGCGAAAGTTTAAAAGTTTTTTTTTTAATCATTCAGATTCCATTATTTGTACATCTTCACTCTGCTCCGATTCGGTGGAAATGGAAGTGTCGGGCGCACTTATTTTTCTATAGAATTTCACTGCGGAGAAGATCGAAGCGGTGCGGTGTTTCATAAGTTAGCAATCTGACAGCTCACACAATGAAAAAAATATTGCTTACACAAATGAGTGACTTGTAGGTTACACTAGTCACTGCTAACTAGGTACTGTGGTTATAAGGAACAAAAATTTGTGTAAATTAAACAAACTATTTTGTAGTGAGCTAAACCTTGTTTGGTTATAGGTTAACACTCAGTTCGCAAGCAGTAACGAAACGATTTTTTCAGTGCAGCCACGCACAGCTCACACCTCTCTCGTCTCCGCAACGTTCCGTTTTTCTCCGCTCCGCATTGGTGGAAATAGCCTGTCAGCTTCGCCGCACATCTCTTCTCGTCTCTGCGTCGCTCCGCTTTGGTGGGAACCAGGCCTTACAGTGTGAGCAGTACAATACTTCACGTGTACGCGTATGTTACACGTGATGGACTTAAACTGCACCGTAATGTACAGTACATTCGGCAGCACGTCTAAATATTATACTATAACTCAAAGGTGACTGACTGACATAGTAATCTATCAACGCACAGCCCAAACCACTGGACGGATCGGGCTGAAATTTGGCATGCAGGTAGATGTTATGACGTAGGCATCCGCTAAGAAAGGATTTTACGAAACTTTACCCCTAAGGGGGTAAAACGGGATCCACGCGTACGAAGATGCTGGCGTTCGCTAGTTAGACTATATTTTAGTTGCGGTGGTATTTGCAAATGTGCTGTCTTATTATAGTTACACGCATCTCTGCTTAGTTTGAGATAGTTATTTCGTAAAATGAGGTACCTACTTATTATTAACTGCTTGTTTAAGAGTAATTAGCGCCTCCGTATTTTTAGGGAGTTATGCCCGTTTTCACCATCAATCCCTAATTCTTAAGTGACTCCTATGGTAACACATAACAGGATTTTTTGTCAAAGGGATCACTTAAAAATTAGGGATTGATGGTGAAAACGGGCATTAGATTCTTGTTGCACTGTCTCTCGTTTTAGAGTTCCATTTCTGACACATTAAACTTTGAGTTAAGTAATTAAGTTAAACTTCACTTTCAAAACCGTCCGAAAAATAGTTTGGAGGACATGATAATTCTATAGCGGCATTGAGTCCGATTGTGACATTGCCTTACAAAAAAAATTGAAGAGTGAGATTTTAAAAAGGTGATACACGCTCCCATCCCTAATCTACTAATAACCGACTAAAACCAGCTCGCGGCTGTATCGAGCTACTTTAAACCGGTTAAAACTGGATCTGAAACCTCTACTTTAATAAAACACAAATCATAAAGCCGCGGGCAGAAGTTATGCCCATAATATACTGAGTCATGAAGCAATTGTTCCCAAGTTTAAAAGAGCGTTTCTTCGAAGCGTGCCCCAAAACTGGGGCTTGAGCGAAACGACCGAAGTTATAATCGTCCATGTTTTAATGCAGTTCCGATTCCAACTTGTTTGTTTGTCGGCGATGAGCCGTTTGACCCGAATAACAAGCGAACAAGAAAGTTTCACTTAGTTTTGTTGTGATTGATTGTGCAGTGACGAATTGCAGAACAGTTTGCTATGGGTTCAACTGATGTTGGTTTAATAATTACTTTAGAGAGTACATTCATTAAATATGTTATGGGTATGGGTCATGGGTTCACTTTCAGTTTAATATTAAGCACTAGCGGCCGCCCGCGACTTCGTACGCGTGGATCCCGTTTTACCCGGGCCCCTTCATCTATCTTACGCGGTTTAGATTTTTTCATACAAATGTTTTTTCCGCTAACTCACGTTCCCGTGGGAATTCTGCAATATCGTCTTGTAACTAAGCTTTAAGTTTACTAAGGTACCTGCATGCCAAATTTGAAGCGTCTAACTTAAGCGGTTTAGATTTTTCATACAAAAGGATTTTCCCGCTAATTCCCGCGCCCGTGGAAATTTCGGGAATTTCTTTCTTAGTGCACCTCTACGGTACTTAAGCTACGTCCCTTCCAAATTTCAAGTGCCTACGTTTAGCCGTTTAGGCTTAAGGCTGCACACGCGACAGAAGCTTAAAAAATGGAGTAACTTCTCCCGTTTTCCTGAAATTTCCCTTCACTACTCTGCTCCTAAGTATATTATAACCTGCCCAGGAGTATGAAGAATAATTGTACCAAGTTTCGTTAAAATCCGTCGAGTAGTTTTTGTTTCTATAAGGAACATATAGACAGACAGACAGACAAAAATTTTACTGATTGCATTTTTGGCATCAGTATCGATCACTAATAATCACCCCCTGATAGTTATTTTGAAACAGAATTGACCTCTACAGATTTATTATAAGTATAGATTATTTTACCGTAAATAATACCGTACTTAATCTAGCGAAATAAGTACGGTATAAAAAATACCAATACCAATAGTCGAAACTCTTAAGTTACTACTACAGTACATTTGAAAAATTATGTTATATGTGTACATATAATTACAAAAAGTTAAGTTTAATATTATCTTAAAGATTGGGTAGTCGTAATTGGCCTACAAAATCTCACTAAACACATTGTAATATAAATTGATATAGTGCTGTGTACTATCCTTAGACAAATAATAGCTAAATAATAATATTGATATAAATTACTACGACAACTAATACGACGCTACGAAGCTATGACGCTACGACGCACAGTGGTCGGCTTTGTATGGGAGAGCGGAAATAATTACATTTTTCAGTGTTGTCATGTTTCTTTTCATAATATTGCTTTAAAATAATAAAAAAAATGTTATATAGTGCAATGTCTATGTTTTAATACATAACAGAAATTACTAACAAATAATGTCACTTTTTTATCAGGTCTAAAACTTCTTGGTTTAGAACTAAACATTTTTTGCTGATTTTACTTCTAAATTTATTGATCAATGGATCAGACGAAGCCAGAAGAATGTTCATAATATCCTCATTTGCACCGAGAATACCNGCGACAATATGTGTGTTAATTTTTGTGGTCAGAATAGATGTAAGGAGCTTGTAGATGGTAGGCAAGCATGTGATTGGTCTGTAATTTTTTGGGTCCATAGTACTACCAGATTTGTAGAGCAAGGTGGTGACACCGGTAGTCATGAAGGCTGGAAGGGACCCGAGCTCGAGGGCTTCTTGAAATTGTGTTGCTAAGCGGTCATGTGAGCATCGAATCCATTTAATCCAAAAGTTGTGCAATCCGTCCGGTCCTATTATTATTATTATTATATTATAGTTGGGATTTCTCTACTTCTATTACCTACTATGATACCTTTGTTCTGGATTAGGTACATTAGAATCGAATACGTATCTATTTTAGTTCACTCATATACCTCTCAGTTCCTTCTTATATTATTATGTTACTAAAGAACTCTGTATTTGTGTCCATAATATACATATAACACATTAGAGTAAATGA